CTCATTTTAAGCTTGGTACCCTATAAATGGAAGAGCTCTTGCTAAAATGAGCTAATAAAAAAAGGATCCTTATCACTAACAATAGAGGAAGGGATGTCATGTAGATGCATAACCTCCTTGGCAAAAATTTCAGCTATCACTCTAGATGTATAGGGATGTTTAAGAAGGATAAAATGTCCATATTTAGACAACCTATCCACAACCACTAGGACTGCCTCATATCTTTTAGACTTAGGAAGACCCATGGTAAAATCTAATGAAATATCATCCCAAACCATAGAAGGAATAAGTAAGGGCTGAAGTAGACTTTTACAAGAAGTAGCAGAATATTTCTACCTTTGACACACATCACAACCTTGAATGAATTCTTGTACCCTCTTTTTCATGCCAATCAAGTATAAATTCTTTGCAATTCTCTTATATGTCTTTAAGAAACCTAAATGCCTACCTTCTGGAGAAGAGTGGAATTTTTCTAACAATTGTAGAATATAGGCAGACGTAGATGGAATGACCAAACTTCCTTTATGCAGCAGAGTCCCATTTTGAATAGAGAAACTAACCCTACCACTCGAATTTTTTGCAAATCAGCCTTGACTTTCTATATAAACTCATTTTTTTGGATTTCCTGTTGTAAGCCCTCACCCTACATCCATATTGGACAAGAGAAAATGACATTCAACTTTCTATACTCCTTAATTCTAGATAAGGCATCAGCTACCTATTTTCTAAACTAGGCTTGTAAACAAGTGTAAATTGGTATCCCAAGAGCTTAGTCAGCCAACTCTGTTAAGCAGAAGTGGCTACCCTCTGATGTAGAAACTCCTTTGATATGTGAAAACAGTAATTTTTTTTCGAATTAGGTAATGGCGCCAATGTTGAATAGACAACACCAAAGCCATGAGTTCCTTTCATAGGCTGATTTATAAAGCTGTCCCAATGAAAGAGCTTTGTTGAAATAAGCAATTGATTGTTATTGTTACATCAAGACAACCCCTATCCCACTACCGGAAGCATCATATTCAATCTAAGATTTCTTTGGAAAATTTGGCAATCTCAATACAGGAGCAGAAGTCACTGCCTTCTTAAAGTTCTCAAAGGCTTGCTTAGCTTTAACAGTTCAAACAAAAGCATATTTCTTTGTCAACTTAGTCAAGGGCTTAGAAATTTTCCTGTATAGAGAAATAAATTTCCTATAGTAGCCTGTAAGCCTCCAAAATCCTTTTACACCCTTAACATTCTTAGGGATTGGCCAATTAAGCACACTATTAATCTTTCCAGGATCCATATGCACACCAGATTTAGAAATTACATGGCCAAGATATTCAATCTGACTATTACCCAAGTTACATTTCTTTAAATTGGCAACAAACTTGTGTTCTTTTAAGGTTTCCGGGGCTTGAGATAAATGAAACATATAAGCAGACCAATTTCTACTGTACACTAGTATATCGTAAAAAAGAACTAATACAAAGTGATGCAAAAATGACCTAAAAACCTGATTCATTATTGACTGGAAGGTAGATGGGACATTCATGAGGCCAAAAGACATTACCAAGTACTCATAATGTCCCTCATGGGTTCTGAAGGCAGTCTTCTCAATATCCCTTTCTCTTACATGAATTTAGTGATAACCTGAGCGTAAGTCCAGCTTGGAAAAGAACCTCATCCTATGCAACTCATCTAGTAGCTCATCCACAATAGGAATTGGAAATTTATCAAGGACAGTAACCTTGTTTAGTTCTCTATAATCCACACACAATTTGCAAGAGGAATCATTTTTTTTAACAAGAATAACTAGACTAGAATATGGACTAGTACTTTGCCTTATGATTATAGAATCAAACAGCTCCTTCATCTACCTTTCAATTTCGTCCTTGTAGAGGCATGGATATCTATAAGGCCTCACACTAATGGGATTGGTTCCAGGGTAAAGGATGATTGAATGCTCAGTAGGCCTCTGAGGAGGTAGCCTTTTTAATTCTCAAAAAATTTTAGCATATTTTCCCAATACCACTTGTAATTCCTTATGTTGATGAGGGTTCAAATTCTCATTGTTAGCCAAAGGACCCAAGACCCCTTTTTTCCAATTGAGACTTTCCATTGCACATATTTGCCCCCCTAACAGCTCATTGAAGGTGGGAGTAATGCCCTTTATTCTACTAAGGCTCCTCAGCTATCATTTCCCATCTTTCTAGAAGCTCATAGAAAGGTTTCTGTAATCCACAATAACCTTTCCCAAGGATTGTAACTAAGCTACTCCTGGGATCATGTCTAATCCTCCAACGTCTAACACATGAGCATCAATTTTGATTTGCATAACATTCAAATCTAACAGAACATTAGGACAAATACCCATTATTTTCACTCTATGGCCATCTCCCAGCTTCACTTCAAGGCTCTCTTTCCCTTCCATCTTTATTCCCTTGTACTACCTTAGGAGATATGAAATTGTGATTGTCTCCACTGTCCACTAATGGTACTACAGGCACATCATTCAATCTACCCACCAATTTGAGAGTATTAACACCATCCTGAGAGTTCTCTGCAATTGGTATAACAGTCCAGCTGGTCCTCTTCTGAATCTTCATTGCCTACCTCCATTCTAATGATCTCTCCAATTTCAGTTACTTCTTTGTCTTCCCCTAAAATCATCAACCTCAATTGCCTTTCTTGACGATTAGCACAAACATGCAGTGGATGAAATTTTTTGCCACATCTAAAACATAACCCCTTATTCCTCCTTTCATGAATTTCTTGATTAGACAAGTGCCTAACTCCTATGTTCTTTGAACCCATAATTCCAGGTTTTTGATTTACAGAAGTTGAAGATCCCACCGAAGCTTCAGACCTCTTTCCTGCAGAATAAGCAACGTTATCGGAACCAAAACTTGTATTTACCATTGACCTTGGTCCCGTTTAGGAAGTACTTGTGTCACATTGAAAAGAGATGACATTTCCCCTGAATCCTCGCAAAAAACCTCCATTGTTCCATGATTTTTCACCCATAGATGAAACTTCCAGGGAATCTGCAATTTCTGCCTTTACGCACCCAGCCAATCTAATCGCATCTAGACGATTCTTTAACCCAAAGGTCCTCCCATGTAATATGAAGTTCTCTTTGAGTCCTTTCATAAAGAACCCCACGAACTGATTTTCAGGTAAACGACCAACCTGCGCTGCTAGAAACTCGAATTCGTCCACGTATTCTTCAATTGTTCCCACTTGCTTCAAATCCGCAAGCTCCTCAAAGGGATTATTCAAACGCCCCCTCTAAAACGAATTCTCATAGCAGTCTTGAAAGATTCCTAACTGGGAGAATCTTTTGAATCCAGCCACGTTTGGAACCAATGAATGGTTCTCCCATCCATGCTCAATCTTGCGAGCTTAATCTTGTTGGAATCTGAAATTCCTTGAACCTCAAAATAGGTTTCAGCCCTCGTAATGCATCCTCTTGGGTATATTCCATTGAACGAAGGTAGTTCTACCTTCTTTGCCATCAAATGAAACTCATCCAATGCGTCTGCATTCGCATTATCCGGAGGTTCCTTTTCCTTATCGCCAAACATGTTTTGACCCGATTGATCATTGTGTTTGGCTATGAAGTTGCGCATCAAATCTTCAAGGCCTCCCATTTTTCCATTCATTGTCGCCATGAAATCCTCTAAGCGTTCCTCTAAAGAATTCAGACGCTCGTCGAAAACGTCACTGCAAGGATCTGTGTTTATGCTGTGCTTCTTCATTTGCAGTTCACTTTTCTCACAATCCACAGTTTTTTCTTTGACAAATATCCAACAAGTTGGATCAATGATAGAATTCACAGAAAAAAGGAAAAGAAGAACTAGAATCTTTTATTCAAGAATGAAAATCTTGTGTACAATGAGTACTCCAGAGTAAGCTCTTGAGAGAATGATCTCTTCCAATTGTTCTAACCAATTTCTAAAAAACTAACTCCTAACTAATTTCCATCAGCTATATATTATTAAGGTGAATAACAGGCTAACTACTAACCAGACTGCTTTCTTTTTCTAGAATAGACTATCCATGGTTTAGCTTTAGTTGCTGGAATATTATTTACAACAATATTAGGATTAGGAGCAAGAGTCAAGTGACTGTAAGTCCTGAAAGAGAGTGATTCTATTGAAATTAATGAACTTGACACTTAATTCCTAAAATTTAATTTCTCCAACCTAAAGTAAGAAAGAGTCTTAAAAAAAAAATTGTTAACTATAACAAATTGTTGATATATAAGCTTTTTGCACAATTTATAACCTAAGTACGTTTTGCTATCAATGATGCTAGCTTGGGTGTCATCATGCTCTGCAAATCACATAATTTTGACTCTTTGGCGTTAGTAATGGAGATTTTAGTGTTGATAACAATGGTTCATAACATCTTTGTTTAGAATCTTCCTAAAACTCACGATTAAAAACAAATTAAGCCTAATGCATTAAAATAAAGAAAATTAACGTCATAAATTTATATTAAGCTTAAATCATAATAAGAAATTAAAAACTAAAAGATTTATATATTAAATACTTTGAAACATTGCGCAGACACCAGTTCTCTTCTTCATTCATTTCATTGATTATGTTTAACACTTACTGATTAACTGCACAAAAAAATATTCACGATTTTTTTCGGTTAATAGTTAAGAATTACAGAGAATAACTACGTTTGTTTGCAGTTCTGCACCGCTATCCCATATCACATAATTTTTCTCTGCATCATGATCTTTTGCAGTTTTAACCGAAAAAAAAAGAAGCCTAAAGAACTGTTAAAAACAGTAGATGTAGATGTATATATTTTTTGTTTTAGCGTCGGTTGCTTGTTGAAGAAATATTTACATTTGTTATTTACAAAGGGTAATAAATAAAAGCTCCCAGAAAAATTACATCCATCTTCTGGGTTGACTCAGAAAATTCTAGGTTGATTCAAAGCCAACAAGATGCTTAAATCGAAATCCAGCTATTAAGACATATACAATAGCTCTTTGATTGGCTCTATGCCATTTGAAGTTCTACCCTGTCAGAAACAGCACTTTCCTCCCTCAAAACAGAGGGAACCATTACTCGGGAATGAACCCATGTTCTACAAATTGGACAAAAGGGTGTCTTGAGTATCCACAAATCAATGCATTGAACATGGAAACTATGGCTGCAATTGGGCAACAACCTGCACACATCACCCACCTTGAATTTCTCCAAGCAAACAGCACAATCCACTTGGCTACACCCTTTCTCAGGCTCCTCATAATCAAAGCAAGGAAGGTTCTTCAAGTCACCAATGTTTTCACCAAACATTGTTTTCATGGTACCGCTACTCTGTCCTTGAGTACTTTCACCATGACCATGATTGTTATTGTCCCTTCTGAAAGCCCTTCCAACTATGCACACATGGATAACCACCAAAACAGCAATCCCCACAAGCAACATGATCAAAGAGATCACTATCTCCATCACCATAATTTGGCCTAGTTTTCACCGACTAACCAACCCTCCCTTCAAACAAGGAAAATGTCTGATTCTGATCAAAATTTGTTTGCTCCTCAAAACAACAAATTAAAACACAGGTCAAACAACCACATATTGTATTGTAGCAACGGCAAACTACCTGGATGCTCTCATCATCTTGTATTTATTATATAGATTTTTTTTTTCAATCAGAAAAATACCCAGAAAGCTGAAAGTTATTTGCTTTCATGATTGAGTGGTTGGGGCGTAAATCCAGTGTTTTTGATAGTATCAAAATCCAATTCAGCAGGTATTGAATTTCAGTAATATCCAAAACCAAACTGCATAATATAATAATAATAATAATAATAATAATAATAATAATATAGAAACTGCAGTATAATTACAACATTACATGTGTTAGTCGAGGAGTGAGAGTGAGGATGAGACGTGAAGTGCGTTGCATGGAACAACAATGTTTGTGATCACAGGTCTAGGTCTTGTCCTGTGTCTGTATTAAATTCTAATTCTTTATGGCCTTAATTAAATAGCCTTTGGCACTGACCCGACAATTAACATTGGATTGGGTTTGGAGGAAACCATAGTACTGAACAGATCTACCCCAAACATTTATGACAAACAAAATAGAAAAGATACTGTCAGAATTTGGGGCTATATTTATATACGCCAGGATCAATTTAAGATGAATTTAAGTAAATAATTTAATTAAATATTTTTAATAAATTTTATCACACAAAAATTTATGATATTAATTTGATTAAAAATGTATTAATATAAATTATAAAAAGTGTTTTGACGTAACTTATTGAAATAAATAATATAAAAATAATAAACTATTTTTATAAATTTGTTCATAAATTCTTCCAACATATGCTTCCTGTTATATAAAAAGTTCTTCAATATTAGCCCAAGACATTAGTTCATATTTTATAACAAAATTAGCCAAGAGTGAAATAGTGAAATAAATTACGTGATTTAGTATTATAATGAATTTATTCTATTTTAGTATTATGGCTATCACATCGATAATAAAGTCCGAGTATGGGAAAACAATTGTGATTTTATGTAATTATTATTTTCTTGAATATATCCATGCATGTACATAGTGTATACACTGTTAACTAATCATTTTATTTTAGTCTTACATTGAAATAATTGTTTTCGGGTTTTCAGCCTTTGTCCGTGAGAAAGTTCTACAGAAGAAACGCTGTTTTAGTGCATTGAAGTTGGCGGCAAACATATGTGTGGAATTATTACACTTTGGTTGAATAAATTAGAGCCAAGAATAATGAGATTGGATAAGATAGCCAACGGGCAACAAAGAGCAATAATGCTGCACTACTTCCAAATTAATAATTGTTGATGGGATTATTTATTGGTTGAAAGTGTTAGATGAGAATGGCATGCAGTTCTTCATCACATAAGAATGGTCGTACTTTCTTATAGAAATTTGAGCCTAACTAAATCTGCAGGACTAAATAAATGTGAACAAACCAACGTTTAAATTAAATACACTTTAATATTATGTTAAAAAATTTAAGTTTAACTCATTTCTAAAATTTAGCTCAGAGCGGAATTACTCTAACTTTTATAAGGAGTATCTTAACTTTATTCTTAACCATTATAAAGGACCATTGTGAAGAGTGGATCTAAAAAGACTGAAAATTAATGAAATCAGTATAATATCGATATTAAAATCACAAACTAATCTTTAATATTAATCATCATGCATTGATCCCTTTCAATTTTGCTTCAACTTCACCATGCATATTTTTGGTCAAATACAAGACATACGTTAATCTTAGTTATCACTCTTTTATTATGACTCAGTCTCAAATACAAGACATACGATCAATAAAAAATTAAAGACATTTTCTTTTCTAATTTCTGTGTTTATCATAATTCTTCAAAATGAATATTGAAATATTCAGAATATATGTTTCATTTATCAAAATATAAAGTAAAATAGGACAAAGTTGGTCTAATTATGTCAAATTTTCTCTAAAAATTCAACTTTACAATCTTAAAAAAATATAATAATTTTTCATAAAATATAAAATTTATTGATTTAAAATTCGTAAAATTTCATATTAAAATTAATAGATATTACATCAATTTTAACTCATAATATATTGTTAAAATATAAGTAAATACCAATTATTAAATAATATATATATATATATATATATAAACTTTTAAATTATATAAAATTTGATATAAATAATCATAAATATAAGATTATAATAATTAATAGATTAATGAATCTCATATTTTATAAAAATTATTAAATAATGTAAATATCTAATTTTAATATTTAGTGTCTAAAAATATATGACACCTATTAGACATGTGTATCTATCCATCTATACTTTTAATATATATATATATATATATATATATATATATATACTTTACTCTCTGGTAACAAATGAATCCTGTAACAAATGAATCCTGTAATATATATATATCTCTCCACGGTGGTTTGCTAGTGACCCCTGTAACAAATGCATTTACGATTTAATTTTTTAATATTTTTCAAGCTGACTAATATTTTTGTTAAAATTGTACAAATTTAATCCTGTCAATTTTCTTTTATTCAAAAATCATAAATTTTAATTCTTTTACTAAATTTTTTTACAAATTAAATAGGGTAAATTGTCTATTTTCAAAATTAACCAACAAAAATATTAAATTTTACAAAAAAAAAGTTAATTTTTATAAAAAAAATGTTAATTTTTTTCTCTTCAAACTCTATTCTCACATCTTATAGACCTCTTTAAATTTTATCCGATCTTCGTTAAGTTTTTTACTTGTGAAATTTTAAGATTATTCATATTCCAATTCACAAACCCGCCAAAAGTTTGAATAAAAATAAAAATTTAAAGGTTGTAAATAGAAAATAAAAATTGATGTAGAATTAAGTTTGTACAGTTTTAAAAATAGGGAAACTTATTTAAAAAAATAAAAAATAAAATCATGCATAGCCAATATTAGAGGAAGTAAAAGTTTAACTAAGTTTAATTTATAAGGTAGAACAAAAAGTGCAGGTGGTTCACTAGAATCTACAACTCTTGTGAGTGATAATTCGTTGGAGACCCATATGCATATAATAAAAATTTTAGTATTTACACATATAACAACTAGCACTTGTTCACAGATAATGTGCTACACATGCACAATTTGAATATGTCACTATAGCATATATAGTTACACATTTTTAACTATAAACATTTTGATCAATTAATAATCAACACATTTTATTATTCTATACTTATATATTTTTAACTGGTTTAGTACTTAAATAGAGTTGTTTAATTGAGATTTGTAAAATATGTCGAATTTGATCTTTGTTCGAAACTATCTTTAGTTTCATAGATTTATTTTTCACGACGTTCTCTCTATTTGTACGTTATAAATTAAATTTTATACATCCAAACAAAACTATTAGAAACATGTGACATTCTTAATTTATTATATATTTATTTGAAAAAATTATTTTAAATTAAATTGACATACATACATAATTATTTACATACATAATGTGAAAAGTTAAATAAAAGTTTAAAACTTTCATTTAAATTATTATTGTTCAATTCAAAAATAACTTTGATAATATACAAAATGATGAATATAAGAAATATAAATAAATATTTACTATCAAGTTATACATTGCTAAATAAAATTACACTTGAGCATTAAGAAAATATGTACATTAGCTATCATTTAAATACAAAAGTTTGATATGTACAAGTTATTATCTAAAATATATTAGGATTTCATTTACATAATTACAAAAATTAAAATACTCTAAGTCTTATTGAGCAGTTTATCTTAATACCAAAATACTGAGAATATGATCCTAATCATCATCCTCAAATTAGCTCTCTATCTCTTCTAACTCTTCCCGTGTCAGGTCTTCATTCTAAAATCTCCAACATCTGCTATGACCTTTGAGCCGGTCATTTGTTCTCAAGTAAAATGGATTGGTCTTCCAAGGTGATTGTAATCATGGAAAGTATAAACATGATTTATAGTCTTTGATGTACAAACCATCCCTCTATATACATACAAGCTAAGGATATAGTGAATTCTACCACTAATAGGATATAAAAAGAGAATATTCTACCTTATAGTGATTTCTACTATAATTACATTATTAGTTCCATGTTCATTATCTATTACAAGTTTACAATGGCAAACTCTCTGCCACTCTAAATATATAATTTAACCTACTTTCTATAGTATACTCAGTTAGTCTAATAGGTCTCTCGGGTTGGTCATCCTTATTTCCTAAAAATATTAATATGGATGAGCTTTTCTTTTCACCGTTAAAATATGATCAATTTAATAATTTTATAACACACACATTTAAGGTAACACACGAATCAACTCATGATAATAATCGCATCAATAATATGTTCATATACACAAAATATTTTTTGTATATTGTGATTACACTCTATTAACACTCTTAGTATTCGTAAGCCCTTATCTCAACCATCACTATCCCTAGGATCCCTTTAGGTCTTCCACATATATAGATAATCGCTGGTTAGCCGTAGCAAGATGGATACAATATGTGCTAACGCAGCCCCTTTAGCAAAAGTATGGTTAAGAGTTTAGGTCAGGAAATGAGTACGAGGCATGTGATGCTTTTGCACTCATTAATTATGCGCAACTAATAAAAAGCATTCACCACCCTACATTTTCCTCAAATTTCTAAAATCACCTTTGTTTCTTACACTCCTAATGCATCTCTGTAACTATCAATATGTGTTCTTCTCACCTTTCACAATAACAAAACTTTCACCCTTTTTCTTTCTCATTGTAATAAAATTTTACCCTTTTCATTTCTCATTATAAAATCATTCAATCATGTCCAAGGTCAAACACCTCCAAAATCAGTCCAAATCATATATTTTGAATACATGTATTTCATATCAATCAAGAACAATGAAAACATACTTCATCAACTTAAATAATTT